TATTTATGCAAGATTTAATGATTATTTGATTTTTTTTAAAGATTTCTAATTTTTTATTTATCTTTATATTTAATATATTTATAAATAATAAAAAAATATTTCTAATTTTTTATTATCAAATTATTTTATCATTTTTAATAATTTTTTCTATTGTTGTTAGTAATATTACTATTTAATAATTATATTTATTATATTTTATTTCTTTCTCTCATAATTAAACTTAATATTCCTCCTTTTCATTTTTTCAGACTATCTTCCCTCTCATGGATACATCTTGGTGAGAGGTCTCAGTAGGATATTTACATGAAAAGAAGGATTTTTCTCAATTATCTAAAAATTTTCGGATATACCTGAATGTAATACATCTAGAAAAATTTTTAGATATTGAGTAAAATCATTCTCTTCGTGTAAAATCATTCTCTTCGTGTAAAAATTCAACGAGAAAGCTAACGTCATCGATTTACTTGTAAATATACGAACTGCAGCCGGTTCGTCGCGTCGCGCGTTTCGGGAGTACCGTTCAAGTTATCGGACTCAAGTCATAGTCCGCGCGCGATTATAGTATATTATCGCGAGTGTGTACGCGAGTGTCCTGTGCGAGAGGATGACAATCATGTGCTGAGAGGAGGAGGAGGTCTGGGAGAGACATCGGGCACCATTGGAGCAACCTTGCGGTAAATATTATTTTTTACTTGTGTAAAATTAATCTTTTTTTCGTTTGTCTTTAAGTCATTTAATTTGACAAAGATTTAAAAATGGTTGTTTTTAAATCATTATTAAATAAAATGATTTAAATTATATATTTTTTGAAATTGCTATATAAAATAAATTATATATTTTCTAAAGAAGAGCCTAGCAAAAATAAATTTATGTAAAATTTGAAAGTAATTTTTAAGTAATTCTTCTTTTATCTTATTTAGATAAAAGGAGAGATACTCAAAAATTACTTTAAAATGTTATAAAAATTTCTTTTTTCTAAGATCTTCTTTAAAGAATAAATATAATTATTTTATTTAAACTTTAAATAACTTTTCTTTTATCTAAATTAGATAAAAGGAGAGTTACTTAAAAATTAATATATATAATATATATATAATTATTTCAGAGAATATACACAATTATCTTAGAGAATATACATAATTATTTTTGGAGAATATATAATGTTTTATATCTAATTAAATAACGAGTACGAAATTAGATGCTTACAAAAATTATATTTTCAAAATTACATGATTATTTTTCACCAACTGCATGCTTCCCTGTAGCAATTATTTTTTAGAATAATGATTATTTCTTTACTCTGTTTTAATTTGAATTTTAATTTATTTGTTACAGACGTATCATCGTAGTGACAGATATAACTCCACTGTTGCGCATCAGGTCGGTGAGTGATGAATCAATATTTTTATTGTAAAATTCTTCAATATGTGATTGGTTTATATATTTATATCCATAAGGAACTAAAAGCAAGAAACATCGTATTGAAGAATTTTACATTAGCAATGCTGCTTTTTCTGCAGCAATTAATATATTCGAGATATTATTACACATTTATAAAGTAATTTACATAGGAATACACATGTAGAGATAGGTGAATAGGCACCAATAAATGAAAACATGACTAGATAAGATAAGTATGGATAGATAGGGATAATAAATATGAATAGGTAAAGATAAATACAATAATTAAAAAGTTAAATTATTTCCGCGATTAGTGATGACTATTAGAGTATTCGATTTATTGACTCGAGTCAGTGACAGTTTTTTGTTTAATAAATTAGTGATATTTATTGTAGTGAAAACGTTAAATATTAGTATTTATACATCTTATTTTTTTCTATTCATTAAAAAAAATGTGTTTAAAGCCAAATTGACTCTTACATTTATTTTAGGAAGAATTCAAATTCGATGTTATATTTGTAAAACGAATGTGACTTCTTTTTTTATCAGCTTCCATTTATCGTTTCCTTTTTTACGAGCAATTACTGCTAAAGATAAAAGTATACATATAAGATAAAAGTATACATACAGACAAGGAATTAAATTATTATTTTACGCAATATATTGTGTGTGTGTGTGTGTGTGTGTTATGCCTGTATATATTAATTGCAATTATATACAATGATTTTCTAATAACATAAATATTACAACTATCTACAAACAGTATATATAACATGATTCAAATAGATGTAGTTCATTTATCTGTAATTTATCACCACAAATAATAATTACACTTATAGCATATTATATACAATCACTGAAGTGATATTTTCTTTCTGTTACTATAAAATTAAAATTTTTTAACATATCTTGTGCTATATCCCTGACTTGCAGTACCAACTTTTTGTTTCCTTTACGCAAACGTAAAACATACAAATGCTGTCCTCTTACTTTCCTTTCATGAACAATTTCATCAGATATACTATATTTAACTTTTTGAAATCGCTCAATATATATGCAGGATCATTTTCTTTTATAACAACTAAATAAAACAATCCTGCATCTGATAAGATTTTGGAAATAATAATAAATATCTGTTCCATAACTTGTCTACCATCCTTTTTTACCACCTGCCCATGAATACGAGTCTGTTATCTATTACTTCGTTATATATTGTAACTACGGAGGATTAAATAAAATAATGTCAAATGTATATTTAATTCGTATACAATCTAATAAATTCGTTTGAAAGACATCTACATCGACTGAATTAATCAGACTAATTCTTCTTGTGGCTCTTTGTGCATCAGGATTTATATCAATCGCAATAAACGTTATGATTTTTTTAATGCCATTATTAAAGCTGAATGATAATGCCAGAACCAATAGCTATCTCTAAACAAATTCTTGACTTCATCGTATGCAGAATCTCTAAATCTGCTTCCAAAACATCCACCAAAAAGATACGAATCCTCAGAAGGCTCATAAACTGTATTGAGCTTCTTATCGGACAGTTTAACTATTGGTGTCGCTATAATTTATAAGAAAAAAATGTAATAAAATCTTATAAAACTAAATAATCGTAGTAACAATTTAGTCATATCTTATCGATCATAGGTTTAATATCGGAAATTATTGCTATTTATCAATCTCTTTTTCTTTATCAGCTTCGATACTTATGTTGTTATATGCAGAATTATTATTATCTAGTATTTTTCATTTGGCGCTACTCTTCTCGACAGCTTGATGCATCTTATTCAAACACTTTTGGGTACTGTGCAGAAAGTTGCTAATAATGATAATATTATGCTTAGCGTTAACTAATTTTTTTTACATAGAAATTTGTGTCCAGCGGATACTGCAACGCTTCATTGATTTTTTTGAAATTAGTTTCTCTGTTAGGGATTCAATCTGTTGCTTCAGCTCAATTTGGCATATTCTAAAAAATAATAATCGTATGTAAATAAAATAAACTCTTAATTTTTGTTTGCTACATTATATATAAATGAATCTATGAATGAATGAGTTGATATATAAAAGTAAATGTTATTTTATATGATATTATGACTACTTTCCTTTTAAGAGACATGGTCGACATAAACGTTGTTATCCTTTTTTGACATTTCAATAACAGTGACAAAGATAAAATGACACTTGTATCGACTGTGTTTAAAAGAAAAGTGGACTCTGTTCTACAAAAACGTTGCAGAAACAAGAAGCGTACAGAATCGCAACATTGAAGAGAAGTTTATCGTTCGTGTATACGCTCTGCAACGAATCGCAAAATTGTGGTACCTTGTAGCACGAATTTTATCATTCAGTTGGTCCATTGTAGATTTCGGGAGGCGTTCGATTATCCGCTCTCATTAGCCTTGTTATCTGTTAATTTTTTGTATTTTAAGGATTGAAAGTCTGTTTTAATTCTTTATTGCTTATTTATTTAGTATGATCGCGATTAATTTATCTCGCTGAATTCATTACTATGCGATAGGACATGGTTAAGCATTAGCTGCGTTCAACAGAGAAATATCTTTGCAAATATTATAAGATTCTCCATTATGATTGGTTTATACATTTAAATCTATAAGGAACCAAAAGTAAGAACTAATCGTATTGAAGAATTGTACATTTGCAAAGCTGCTTTCTCTGTAGCCATGAACGTATTCGCGATGTTATTATACATTTATGAAGTAATTTAGGTAGGAATACACCGGTAGAAATAGGTGAATAGGCACGTATAAATGAAAATACGGGTAGGTAGAACGATAAGTATGGATAGATAGAGACTGTTTAAGTAAGGACAATAAGTATGGATAAGTAGAGATAAACTACATTTTAAATTAAAAAATTAAATTGTTACAAATTAAATGACATTTGAATAAATTTTGCAATCGTGTAATTAAATTTTATTTGAAAAATAAGGACTAATTATAATTAAACTAAAAATATCCCATAATAAATTGAATTATATAATATGTAGATAGGGACACAGACATCATATGTACATACTTGATAATTGGAAAGGGAGGATTAAAAATTGAATAAAATTTTAAGTTAATTTTAAATTTTATTTAATTATCAGCATCCCGTTCCAATTTTATCATATGAAAATAAATCAAATTAATTTTAAATTTCATTGAATTTTCTGCTCCCCTGAAATTAATTTTTTTTGTAAAATTCTATGCATGTAAAATTCTATACAAGTTATATAACGCGTTAATATTGTAATTAATTTTATTACAAATAATAAATGTATAGTATATACAATATAGTATTAGGTACGTATAATAAAATGTATACTATATATGTATACTACAAGTATATCTAGATAAATGCCATCAAATTTATTTTTGTAATTTGTATAATGATTGCTAATATATTATATATTTATTGAAATGTATATATCCGTACTGAATATCGCTTCAATATAGATAGTATTTATCTTAGTAACCAAATTGTTGCGTTATGTGAATTACGAAATCGATGAAACATATGATAACAAAAATTGTTTAATGATTTATTTTTTATTGACAATTATTTCATTTTGAAATTTTTTTAAATTTTGGTTTTATTTTGAATATCGGAAAGTCATTAATATTTTTGAGTGACTTCTAATTAAAAATTTTATGTTTAGAGTAATGGATTTTTCTTCGTATTTAATATTTATTAAATAATCACATATTTATTAAATAAGTCAATAAAGATTGGACTGAATCAATGATTAAATATTAATATCTTGCTTTTTGATATTTTTACCATTACAAAATTATATGTACAGGTATATATCATAGTGATTAATTTATTATATGCAATGGCCTCATTGCTGTCCTTCGCGTCAAATGGATGCTAGTGAATGCGTGGAAAGTCGAAATTATTTTCATCATGGAGAATTATTCCTCGTTGCTTTTCGTAAAGTCTATTCGCAAAGTCTAATTTGATATCCCATTGGAGATTCTTATTAGAATCGGTATTATTATATAATCCCGGGTTTTCTGTCAATTCCTGGAAGTAATAATTTTGCCAATTGAGTCAATGACAATTGCTATATATTTTACGGTCAAGTTGCGAAATTATTTCAGTGGTATATTTTAGGATACAATTTTCTTTGTTTTCTTAATTTTACTAAATGTTCTTCCACTAGTAATAATGTTAGAAATAGATTGTCTTAATGGCAATAAGAATTTAGTATGATTAATATAGACATACGATTATTTGTCTAAATCCAGATAATTAAATAAATAAATTTAAGTTTTATACAAATAATTTGCTTATTTTAATGATTGCTTTAACAAAAATGTGGTTACGAATGTGTATATTTATGTAATTTGCTAATTGTTATTTTAAAAATCGTTTTTAGGAATTGGACATCCCGCCAAGGACATTATTAATTATTAATTTATATATATATATATATATGATACACTTTTTTATAATAAAATACATGCAGATATTATAAGATTATATTTTAAAAAATTTTGATTTTTGTAATTTAGATAATTTTTATCAAAATGCTTTATATTTTGTTAATAATGTGAATACATGAGTTAAAATTGTATGGATACAAAAAATTCGAGATAAGTCGAATAGGTACCCTCATATTAGCGGGATATTAATAATTAAAATTTTTGGAAAATACAAAGAAATAAGAAATTGTTAAATTTTATATAATAAATTTTTTAGTAATAAAAGTAGTTCTTTAAATTCCCCGTTATTATTAGGTTCGATTTATCTCGAGCAATTGGTATCCGAAAAACTTTTGTACCCATACATATAAAAAAATTACAATAACGCATGTATTTTATTATTATTAAATATATTCCTTTGTAACCACTGTTCCATAAGGAAATCATTCTATTCGTTTATTTTTAATTCGATATGATTTTTAGTGGTGTGTGGCAGAACATATTTTTTCGCGAATTTTAATATTATATTATAGAGATAATAAAAATGGTAATTGTAATTGACATGCTAAAATTATTACTATCGTAAGTGGTCTAGAAGATTTGCGAGTCATACCCCTCCCCCGCCCCGTAACTAAACACTGATATTTGACGGATTGCTTAAATTGTTTTTGTAAATGAATCTTGTGAATTTTACGTAGAATACATTAAGTTCATTCTTCACTATGAAGATTTTTCTTTTTTGTATCGAATCCGCGTACCACACAAGGCGGAGGAACCTTGATATGATGAAATTATTGGGATAGTTATCTTTAATGATGCCATTACCTGCAATTAGAATACATGGTTGTTAATATTTATTCCTATTCGATTCTCTTTCGACCGGTGAAGAAGAAACATCTCGAATCCGATTCAGTTAGGCACTGCCCATAATAGAAGAAATAAGGAATTAGAAATAAAGAATAAACAATTTCAACCTATCAAAAACCATGTATTCCGATGTATCCGATTTCTGATAGGTTAAAATTGTTTATTCTTTATTCCTAATTCCTTATTTTTTCTATTGTACGCAGGATCTTACCGATTCAGATGTGATTATTATTACTATTAGTCGAAATCCGTTATCCTTACTATTGGTCCGTTTTCTGTTCCTGCACCAGACTGTTTTAGAACACTCTTTTTCGCTTTAAACAAATATCAAACGTATATCTATCTTACTTTAAGTTCCAAAAGTATACATTAGTTCTGAAAACAGACCTTATATTCGTACAAGTCTTTTGACAACATTTATTTTTATCAAGAGAATTAAAGACCTGACTTATTTCTACTGTTAGCTCATAAAAATTTATTGCATCATACGAAGTTACAAGTATTACATAAGCGTGGACACAGTGAGTGACAATACATCAATCAACAATAAGATAGATGACTTTTGCGAAAATCCCATAGAAGATGTATTAACGCAAAAATTTATGAATTTCATGAATCTCCTGAAACATACGGAGAACTTACTATCTCTTCTGAATAAACGCATTCGCACTACAAGGTAATCATAATTTTCTCGTTACGTTCATTGCAAGGCACATGCATGAACGGTAAACTTCTTCGATGTGTGATCGCGTTTTGTGTGTTTCTTATCTCTGCAATAGGGAATTTTTGCAATAACATGAATCCAAATACGGTGAATGCTAAAGTTACGTTATTCTTTTCTTAATTAGTTGTTAAAAAGATAACCTAACCTTAGCGTTTATTGTCTGGATAAATAGATCCCTAATGTTTTTATAGGACGAGTCTACTTTCCTTTTAAAAGGCACAGTCGAGAGAGACGGAAGTATCATTCTATCTGATATTGTTATTAAATGTCAGGAAAGATAAAACAATACGTTTATGCCGATATTATCATTTTTCTTAAAAAGAAAATAGCCATAATAATCAAATGAAATAACATTTATTTTTATTCACTCATTCGATCATTATAAGTCTGTTTTTTTATTCGTGTACTCTCTGAACTGATGCACACTATACAATAAATTGAAATAAAACAAACTTATATTTATTTCACTTTGACTTGTTGCACCGCGTGCATCAGTTTAGAGAGTATGGAAATAAAAATCAGATCTCATCCTATAAAAATCAAGAGTTTATAGGATTTATATACACATGACTATCACACACACACATTTTTTGTAGGACACGCGTCCAAGTTGAACTAAAGGAACAAATTGAATCCTTATCAGAGGAAAAAGTCAACGAAGTATTACAATCACTGGACATAGACTCTTGTGTAAGAAAACTAGTTGAAGCTGAACATAATATCGCTATGTCTAGCCACATTTTGCAAAATACTGAAAAGTGCTTGAATAAGATATACCAAGATGTCCTTTCTATGACCAAACAAAAATACTTCTACATACTAATTTTGTATATAACAGCACAAGTATTGAAACGGATAAAGAAGAAAGCTAAAGTAAAACTTGATAAGCACAGCACTAATTTTTTATATTAAATCTATGAACGATAAGATATAACCAAATTGTTACTAAATTATTATATTTAAGTATAAATAATCGTTTTGTATGAATAACAGTTTTGTACAAGATTTTATTACATTTTTTTCTTATAAATTGTGGAGATTGTAATATATGTATAATTAAATTATCTGATATGGAAGAGTTCAGTATAGTTTATGAGTCTTTTTAGGATTTATATCTTTTGATAGATGCTCTGAAAGCAGATTTAGAGGCATACGATAAAGCTAAGGATTTGTTTAGAAATAAATAATATAGTTATCACGGCTTTGGAAGTGGTATTAAACAGACATTATAACATAACATTTGCTTTATTGTGATTGATATAAATTCTAATGCATGTTAGACATGAGAAGAAGTCTGATTAATTCAATCGATGTAGATGTTTTTCAAACGAATTTATTAGATTGCATACAAATTAAATATACATTTGACATTATTTTATTTAATCCTCCCTATGTAATTACAAAATGAAAAAATAGTAGATAATAGGCTCGTATTCAAAACTTAGGTTGGTGATGAAAATGGTAGACAAGTTATGGAACTTAGGTATTTATTACTATTTTCAAAATCTTGTCAGATGCAGGATTATTTTCTTTAGTTGTTATCAAAGAAAATGATCCTGAATATATTGAACGCTTTTAAAAAATTAAACATGTCTAGTAAAGTTGTTCGTGAATGGAAAATAAGAACAGTGCATTTGTGCATTTTACGTTTTCATAATATTAAGGAAACGAAAAAATTAGCACTAGATGTCAAAAATATAACATCTACAGGACATTTTAAATTTTATAAGGAGAAAAAAAAGATATTGATTATAAATCTTCTCTTCTACAATGCTATAAATCTAATTAATATTTATGGTGATAAATTACAGATAAATGAACTTCATTTACTTGAATTATATTATTATATATTGCACTGTTTGTAAACAGCTATAACGTCATTTGTATTATTTGTCGTTGTGTAGTATATAATTGCAATTAATATTTACAGGCATAAGAATATATTTTGTAAAATAATAATTTAATTCCTTTATTTATGTATACTTTTATCGTGTCTTCAGTAATAATTGTTAATAATTGTTGTAATATTTAAGAAAGGAGATGATAAAAGAAAGCTAAAAGAAGAAATAATCTTTTTTACAAATATAATTTATTGTCAAGTACAAGATTTACATTATGATGATATTGAATTATTGCAATAAATACCATGTATTGGTATTCAAGCATTACGCAAAATGAGCACTCTCGTCGTCTGAAGACTGCACGAGTAGTTTGTTAGATGTTTATAGATTGATGTATAAATATGGCTATTTTCCTATTCTGCTATTAAGCAGAATACATTTTCTATGTGTGTATGGATAAAAGTAACGATCATTAAAATTTAGTTATAAATATTTAAAAGCAATAAGCTGGAAGAATTTCTTTGCCTACTGTTAATAACAGTTATTTCAAAAAATTTGGTACACATATTTACCTTCAGCAGTTTTTTCGTAATTAAATGATTATAAAGCGATAAAGTAACATCTCTCTTATCATTTAAATTATTATTTGATTACTGGCACGCGTTCGTTGTTTTCTACGCAACTTCTTTCTTGGTATTATTGCGATAAGGATTATAAAAATAATACCGTTCTACGAATCCACAAATTTCGGTCTGCGAATTCGTTGTAACTTAATATATAATACAGCCGCGCTTATGGTCGCGACGAAGAGTGTACTTAACATAAGAGAGAAGGTAGTGTAAAATCCACCGTTGCTCATGCAAACCTCTTTCGCTTTTGTCATCGTCTCGACAGCCGTTTCCTCCATACTTTCCAGAATCTGGCTGGATGCTGCACTTAAGTCATCTAACATAATCACTTTGAAACGTCGGCCAACACGAACCGGATCTGATAACAGAACCGTATTCGATGAGTTGGCCGATGGTAGTGCATATGTTATCGATCGGCGACGTCTTCCTGGTTCGATTTGCTAAAATAAATTATATATAATATGTAAGAAAAATGTAAAGTTATTTAGTATGATTTATTTCGAGAAATAAGGAATTTTGTATAAAATTTAAAATAATTTCGAATATTTCAAAATATTTTATAAATTATCACAAGAAATTTTTTTTCAATCATTATAAGAAATGATGATTTTAAAATACATTATGTGTTAATTCAATGGGTGCGATAATTTTACCAAATATTATATATAATGTGTTACATTTGAATATTGATTTTGTGGCTTACTTGATTCGCTTCCGGACAAGGTTCGCAGTTAGTTTTACATAGTTCGACATTACATTCAATGAATAGATCCATAACATCAGGGAATTTGAAGGCTTGGAAGAACGCATAAGCGATAATAGAAGCGCCTGTATTGCCGGTATCATTTGTCTTTTGGAAGGCACCGAATAGTTTCGGTTTCAAAATGCAGCCTCTTTCATCGGTGAGCTGCAGCATATTGGTTGAGGCTTCATCTCGCGCCAAACAGTCACGGACCTTGAAAATAATTATAAATAATTGTTTAATTTATATTTCTTGTAACAAATAAAAGTTTTGTAATCTTAAAATTAAAGAAGAACACGTAAAAATAAAAATCGAAAAATAATTATTTCTTGTGTATATATAATATATATATATATATATATATATATATATTCATGAATTAATTACATCTATACATTTTTTATTGGAACATAATTCTATCAATGAATTATCATTATGCATATAAAAGATGATTTTTAATACATACCTGAAGGTCGAAACCAGGATCGCCCTCTACAAAAACTACTAAAGTCATTGTTTCTCCAATCTTTACGAGTCCATCGGCTGCTGGTGCGAAAGGTCCTTTACCGATTTGAATATCCAATTTAGCTGTCGCAGTATCGCCACTAAAGGTGACGATTTCTTGATTCAACATATCTACTGAGAGATTCACCGTTAGGGCCTTATTGATGTTCCCTTCCCAGAGACATCGTACTCTTCGAATTGTATCCCAGACTTCTTGTATACCCGGTTCATTCTTTAGCAATAAGAATTTTTTTATTTCAAAGTCTAATAATTATTTTCTATCACATGTGATTTTTTACGAGCTAAATGTAACAAATAAAACCCGTGGAAAATCAAGCTAATAAATTTAGTTAGTTCGACACCGACTTGTAATACGAGGACGTTTTCCAAATACGCTTGACCAGCTTCACCCTCGAAATCGTTGATGAACTGAGTTCCGCAGGACTCCAGATTCACCGTAAAAGAGTATGTTGTTGAGCCGGAATTCTGTTTTACGTAGGTACATTCCGGATTCATGAAAAATCCCTGAAGTTAGACAAAATCGATACATTATTATCGGTACTTTTTTGTGAAAGAGATTGTTTTATTTCACGCTCTCTTACTTTAGAATAAATAATGCCGTCGTAAGCGCGATTGAATTCGATATTGATCGTCATCATTGTCTTACTGCATTGGACATCGAGATTATGAATATGCGGGGGATGACTGAGATCATCCTCAGCTTGAGCAGTTTCTGAAAAATAAAAGAAAATTATTTTTTCATGTATTTTGCATTTATGTTACACTGGCTGTGACAAACAAATACAAACAAATACCTCCAGTTCCAGTTCCAGTAGTTCCAGGGCCTTCTCCTCTGGTAACTTCACCAGTAACAGCACCTGTTCCAGTTTCACTTGGTGTAGTAAAGGGAGGGAGCGGTCTTTCGGTAGTTGAATATCCCCCGCTCGAAGTAGGATAACCTGAACTAGGATAGCCTCTTGTCGGGATTGGTCCTGAGGGTCCTGAGACTCCTAAAAAATACTCAGATGGCATAATGCTTTTGAGTCTATATCCGTACCTGTCAAAGAGGGGCTTACCGATCGTGGATTCAGAAGGAGGTCTTGGACTGGTCGATGGGAAAAGCGGTGGCTGCGGCGGTAGGTAAGTGGACGACGATTCCGGGGGATTCAGTGGTGGAAAGGCCGATGAGCCTGCGTTGGAATACGAGGGTTGACTCGGTCGGGGATTGTAGGACGTGGAGCCTCTGAAGCCTTGCGGCACATACGTTGACGAAGGTTGTTGGCTCGGTCTTGGAGTAGAAAATGGCGTGGAAGGTTGCCCAGATGATGAGTAACCAATATTTGGCGGAGTATACAGTGATGATGGTCGCTGAGGGGTATAGCCTGATATATCACTTTGTTGAGAACTCGTGGCCTGGAAAGGTCGGGGTTTTTCAGGCGGTCGTTGTGTGCTGTAGGGTGGCAAGTATGCATTCGCATCCGATTGTTGACGAACTGTAAAAATACGTGAGCTCAAGAGTGAGACTCCTTTGTAATCTGTGAACACTACGATGACATCAATAAAAATTTGTTATTGAAATTATCGATTATGCCATCGCAGTCTATAAAGATCGATTAGTTTTATGTACATATCACTCTTTTTAAGTTTTAATTAAAAAAAAAAAAATAATAAAAGGTAAAGGAAAACGTAAGTTTTAGAGAGTTAATTAAGAATATATTTAGTGCTGCATAAAAGAGAACGATTTATTAAAAACATTCGATGACTTTGATGGAATTTATTTATTAAGGTATTATATAAATTAAAAACTCTATGGATTAAAGTTAATTGTTTTGAAACTTACTATTGACTGGGAAGCAATGTCATTCATAATATTAAAAAATGTACTTATATTTTACATTGAAGTTATCGATAATACCATCGAAGTCCATGAACATTGATTAATTTTAGTGTTGATCGATCTCTTTGAATTTTAATTAAAGAAAACAAGAGAGTATATTCTAAAGAGTTAATTAAGAGTGCATTGACTTAATGCTTTGTAGGAGAAAACTATTTATGTCAGTTCGAATAAACGTGCATCAAAGCCAATCCCAGCGTCGAACATAAAGCTAATTCCGTGACTTCTAAATGTCACGTTAAAATGATTGATTAATAGCATAGCGTATTTATGGATGAATGATTTTGTGCGTCTATAATATT